TCCAACCTGCTTAAGTACTGGTTTAATATGGTTTAGATTATTTTATTTGCATTATCTGTTTTTACTATATACCTAAGTAGTACAAAAGTACTATTATACCTTTGTTACAGTTCTTCTATTATTATTAGTAGTAGGTCTATTTATATGATTTATAGATTTATTGTTATAGTTTCAAATTTTATCAACACACTATTTTTAGAGATGATTTAACTGATTATTTTTCTAAAAAAATGTGTCAGGTTCTATTTCTTTCAGTGAAATGCCAACAAACAGATGCCTGGGGATAATCATAATAAAACAATTCAAAAGTTCAAGAAAAAAATCACTTTGATAGTTGTAACCCAGAGAGACATCAAGAAATGAACCAATTAATTGGGTTAAATTTTTTTTTTTTTTTGTAATATTGCAGTCAGGAAAAAAGTATTTGAACATGAAAATTACCTCATGTGAAGGTGAGAAATCCCAAGGTCATTTTCCAAAAGATCTTATTGATCACATCTGGATGTATAAACAAAAAGAAGGAAATTGTATGAAAGGAAAAGTTCCTACTTGTAAATTTGCTTATAAAAATTCATTTGGTTTTATGTTTATACACATTATTTTTAATACAGTTTACCACCCTTTTTAAAAAAAAATAGAGGCATAAATTCAGAGACTATTAATGTTGATGTCAGTTCTTGCCTCCTTCAACACTTCCAACTTTTTTTCAGCTTTCTAACTGGACAGTCTCCCCTGGAAAGTCAGGACTACCTCGGTGGCTGGGTAAGTGATGCCTCTCCACACCACTTACCATCTTTCAGACCATTACATGGGCTTAGAATTGGTTCACTTTGTAAACTGGAACATGGTAGCCCAGTGGCAAGGACAGTGGGTAGCATACATTCACCTGAATAGTCTTGTTATCATGTTTGCCTATGGGATGGATCCTTGGTGTCTGTGTGGTTCTGAGACCAAAGACAGCTCAACCAGAGGGTATTATGACCCATTCATCTGGTCTTAGCTTTGGCCAGGGATTCTTCTCTGAAATCCTGGTCAGCTGACCTGGCTGGCCTTTTAGTTTCCTTCATAGAGCAAGAACATGAGCAGACCTTACAGTTCTGGTACCGGGCAGGATTTCTGTTGCAAAAAGAATTTACTGGGTATGCATCATTATTACCACCATTCTGAAAGACAATTCTATCTAAATTTTCTACTGTGCTCTATCTATCTGGAGGTTTCCCCAATTAATACCATAATGAAATTGAGTTTCTCCTGTGCTTTCTGGACCCTGAACTACAGTTGGGCCAATTCTCCTGTCTTCTATTTTATACTTCTCATCAGTCCTTGATCTTGAGTGCAAGTTTCAGCCTCAATCTCCACTAAAAGCTTCTTGTTCTATGGTACTTACAATGCCACTTTCACATTACAACAGTGTCACAAAAGGATAATTCACCTCTTAGTAATATGAGAGAAATTCTGATTTTTTTTCTAAGATTTTTATTTATTTATTTGACAGACAGAGATCACAAGTAGGCAGAGAGGCAGGCAGAGAGAGAGGAGGAAGCAGGCTCCCCGCTGAGCAGAGAGCCTGATGCGGGTCTCGATCCCAGAACCCTGAGATCATGATCTGAGCCAAAGGCAGAGGCTTTAACCCACTGAGCCACCCAGTTGCCCCCAAATTCTGAATGTTAATAACAAATTTACACTTAATTCTTTTTTCATTTATTTTATCTTATTAGGCTAAAGCAAGTTGAAGTGACCTTTACCTAACTTTCTTTATAAAGATTAGGTAATCATGATAGGTTATTCAGTAAATCAAAGTATGAATAAAATGGCTAGGACAGGAAAAAAGAAATGCAAGTTTTAAATTTATTTTCTGATACTTCATCTCTATATTATTTGCAAATATTTTAAAGTTACTCTTTAGAACATCTTATACATTTCATTATAGTAATAGCATTATAAAGAAAAATTATCTCCTTACCTTCCCTAGACACTAATTTCACTTTTTAGGTACCACTACTGAAGGGTTTCTGATTTGGCTCATCACTGCATTCAGTGGGAATTCAGTGCACATAAGGGGCACATATGTAATTGGCAACCTAATTTTTCTGCTTTCATCAAATGGTGCAATGCCAAATCTTCATTGAACTTGCCAGTTATATGCACTTGGGAACCAAATAGCAGCAAGCATAAGAGATGAAAATGAACAAATTGGAAAGAGTCATTAACTTTCTGTTTTCCTATCACAACAAAAATTCTATCATTGAAAGTGTAGCAAAGTGGGAAATTCTGCTTGAAACATTAAATCATCTTGAAAGAGAATAATTCATTTACTTCTGAAATGTTGTTCATTAGAATTTATAAATGTGGTTTCTAGTACAGATCTTTTTCAGCAAAAAATACAAAGTAGTTAAAATGAATCAACTTTTCCGAAGTGTTTTAGGTTGTATATTCTCATATGTCTTTCTGGTATAGTGTGTATGAATTCTAGACTTTATGTCAAAAGCGAAATTGTTAGAAAATTAAGCAAGAAATGTTGGCTTATTTAATACCTTAATGAATAAAGGCAATTGACAGATTGTCATGGTTCTCACTAATTATGAATGCAATTGAGAGTGTGAAAATTACAATCAGTTGTGGTTACCAGAAATGCCCTTGAAATAACTGGTTTAATGTATAATTTTAAAGTGTGCACTTTGGAGTCATTATTAAATTATCATTATTGATGACACCTTATTAAATAGAGACCTGGGACAAAAAAGCACCAAAAACTTGCCCAACATGATTGAACATTGTTCTTAAAGGGGGATATAATTTTATTTAATGTCTATTTGGATCCTTTACCAAATCTACATATTTACTGGCAGAGTGCAAATTTTCAGATCAGGAATAGATCTTCTATAGAATTTTCTTTTGCAGTGATAGTGGGATTCCTTTAGTAAGGACTTTGGAGAAAAGTTTCCTAACATTTTCTTTTTTTCTTTTAGTTTCCTAACATTTTCATCTGTAAGTCCAAGTACTTAAGATTTTTAAATCCTTGCCTAACTCTAAAAAATAAATATCTTGTAATCCTTTGTTGCACCGGAAAAAGTAAAAGGGAGATAGAAGGAAAATGCCACAGGTTTGTAGATCAGCTTATTTCATAATTATCTAAAAGCTAAAGATACTGTTAACACTTTCGACTAAACCAGGTGTTCTGTGTAGAGTAGGTTGAGCTCCAGTTGCATAGATTAACCTGTATGTGTCCCAACATTAGCTATCTACTCTCCCCAAACCTGACTTTCCTGGTCTGTAAAATTGAAGAAATTATAATAGCTTCTTTCATGGGGCATGTCCACATTAAATCCCAACATCCTTTGTTAGTACACCTATTTTTCAATGCTTAATCAAAAGAGCTAAAATAGCCTGTATTTACATGTTGGTATATTTGTCCACTGGTCCCAGCCTTGCTGCCTTTTCTTGATTATATGCTTAAGCCACTTTTAATGTACTTTAACAGACTCTAAAGTCTTTGTATGAGGCATGAAGAAACTAGGGAAAAGGAAAATCAGTGAAAATAGTAAAATGGAGAATACTTAATGGATAAGCATTTGAAAACAAACAAACAAACAAACAAACAAACAAACTTGAGGACATAGCAATGGTCATGAACTGCTAATAAGGAGAGACTGAGTTGTCAACCTTTTCACCCTACCCCCCAGGTTCTGAAATGTTCTTAACTTTCTTTTGTCACATCTATGAAAAAAATAATTTTTCATAGCTGTCACCCCAAATCAGGGCTGTATCCATGCCAAAATACACGTCAACCACTAATATTCAAAAAGCACACCTTGCTTTTACACCCACTATATTCACATTTCATCAGTTAGATTGTGGCCAGTTAGTTCATTTAGAGTCCTTGAAACTGTTTCTCAACACAGTAGTGTGCCAGATCACAAAATGGACAGGAGGCTAGTTAGCAGGTGATGTCAGCTCTATGAACTTTACAGTGGAGATGAGTTATCTATCTAGAAATGGTCTTACATGGCACCAGAATGGGTTAAAAACACAGTTTTTAAAAAAGTTTTTAAAAAACCACACACACACACACACACACACACACACAGTTAAGTGCACTCCATCTGCTGTATTGCCTGCTAGACATAAATATACTAGAGAGGATATAAATACGGGGATGGATGGGAAAGAGTTCAGGACCCGGTGCAAACCTGAAAGGAAATGGGGCAATACAATGGGAGAGAATTAGGACGAATCAGGTAAGCAACAGCACGTGCATCTGAAGTCTTCCCCATCTCTAAACTGGAACATTTTCTCCAGGGCCCGTCACTCAAATGACAACAAAATGGTAGCTGATTCTGATTGTAATTACCATGCGTTCGAGGACCTTAGGTGTAGGAACACAAGTTCCACTCTAGGTCACAGTCCTAGTGCTTCTATTATCCTACAGAAGAACTGATTGCTGTAAATGGTTCCTGGGATGTGTGACCTGCTTGGAGGAAAGATGCCAGGTTTCTTTCCTTGCTGCCATGGAGGGAAAAGACGTGTCGTATATGAATAGGTTGGGTGAGAAGGAAAAAGGGGGAAAGAACCTCACAATTTCCTTCCTTAAAGGTGGAATAGAAAGATGGTTAACATTGGCGGTTTGGAGAGAAAAGATAAGAGTGCATTTTCAGCATCCCCGAGGTCCCCTTCGTACTGCTTTACACTCCCCCTCTTCTGTTTTGAACTACCAAGGCACTTGGACTCCACACACAACTAAGGATGGGTTAAGCGGAAAGCCAAGTCAGCGCAGTCGGAAACGGCTTCCCTTAAAATGAAAACTCAGGAACCGGCCAGCCCTGGGTGTGCGCGCGTTAATGTATGAGTATGCGTGCGTGGTAACCAGCAGACGCAGTTGGCTGGGCGCCGCCCTCGAAGCCTCCCCCCTCCCCCCGCTCAATAACCCTCCCCCCCGCCCCATCCCTATAAAGGCCCCACTCGTCGCCGCCCTCTTCACAGTCGGGGAGCGCGGCCTGCCGTGGAGGTGGCTCCGGCGCTCCTCACACAGTCACACTCCGCGCACTCACATACTTGGAAGCGCCTCCCCACGTCCCTCCCCTGCCCTCCTCTAGCTCTGCTCTCCTCTCTCTCACCACAAATAGTCGCCGACCGACTGCCAATCCGTGTCTCTCTCTCTCCTCTCTCTCAACAACATGACTGACTGGGAAGCGGTGGCTCAGGCAGAGCAGCTCTGCTGGCGCAGGCAGGAGGAGGAGGAGGAGGATTATTAAAAAACGCAGCTCGACTCTGTGCAACTGGGAGTGGAGAAAAGGAGCCCAACAGCTGAGAAGGGGAGGGAGGGCAGAGGAGGGGACCAGGAAGGGCACCTCCGTGCCCCGAAGACATACATTTCTGAGTGCCCGGGAGGAGCCTTAACGAGCGGCGCGGAGCCCTTCAAGGTAGTAACGCCCCCGGTGCCCCCGCGCCCGGAGGGTCGCGCGTTGCGTCGGCGTTGCGCTGGGGCCAGACCCCAGCGGACGCGGGGTGACTGCCCGGCAGGTGACCGCGCTGAGCCCGGGCCGCCCTGGAGCAGCCCCCGCCCAGGCCCGGGGCGCCGGCAGCGGGCCCGGCGTGCGCGGCGCGGGGACCTGGCCTTGCAGGCAGGGTGGGTGGGGGTCGGACGGGCTCGCTGGCTGTCGGCCCGCGACGACTCGAGTGCTGCGTGGCCTTTTCCTCCGCGCTTCTGAGCGCTCTGCTCCGAGTGGCCGCGGCCGCCGCCGCCGCTCCAGGGCGATGCGGAGCGTGGCCGGCCAGGGGCAAGAGTTGGCGCAGGTTCCGGGCCGCTCCCCTCCTTCGCCGCTCGTGTCCCGCAGGTAGGGGCGGTCAGCCAGCGCTGGCGCCCGGGTGTGCGGGCGCCGGGGCGGGGGCGGCGGCGAGGAGGAGGAGGAGGAGGAGGAGGACGGGGGGGGCGGGGAGCCCGGGTCTCGTGTTGGAGCCGCAGTGCCGGAGCCGGGACCGCCTTTTGCCTCCGCCTGCTTGTCCTCAGGCGCTAGCTTCCTGGATTGGAGGCGAGACCCTCCCCAGCGGCGGCAGGAACAGCAGCGACTTAGTGTGAACAAATTGCTTTGTGGTGGCGCGTCAAGGGCTCCAGGGAGGGGTGTGTGTGTATGTGTGTGTATGCGTGCACGCTCATTCGTATGCATTCGCGCTCATGGCTAATCAATGCTTTGGCTCACCTGAAGAGATAATCAGCCTTGAGGTGAAACCCTGGGGCCCCCTCAGCTTTTGGCTTGTGTCCCAGGAACTCGTACAGGCGGTGCCATCAAGGGGTAGGGTTGCACGAAGGGGTGACGGAGGGATTTGTGAATGGTGCCTCTGCGCGTGGAGGCTGAGCTTGCTGATGTAAAGGAGGAGGTATCCAGAGTGAGAAGAAAGGCTATTTATGGCAAAGAGTTGTGAAATTTCTCGGGGTTTCCTTCAGTGTATACTGAGCTTCCTCTCTCCTCGTCCTCCCTCTTTCGTTTCTCTCTTCCTCTCTCCCATTTCTCCTCTTCTTTTCTCAGAATTAGAAGCAGTTCTGCTTTTTTCCCCCTCTCTCATGGGATCTGGAATATGCAGTGAAGTCAGAAAGCACTCGTCTTTTTACAGGTAGAAAAAAATGTTTCTTAGAAGGCACTGATCTCTTGCCTTTTAATGTTTTTATGTACTTGTTCTCCACTTACCTCTTACGGACATCAGTAGGACTCAGAAGAGGCAAAGTACCTACTTGGTTCCAGTAGCTCTCATTTTTCATATTTTACAGTTGAATACCTTCCCGCGGAAATGTAACACATATTCTCCCATCTCTACCCCTAAGAATGGCTATAAAAAATAATGCACATATGTTTTACTGTAAGCCTGGTTTTATTAAAAGCCCTGGGGAGGAAAGAGAACAAGACACCTAGGTGAGTTTATATGGATTACTACTGATCACGAACTATTTTTTTTTTAAAGATTTTATTTATTTATTTGACAGAGAGATCACAAGTAGATGGAGAGGCAGGCAGAGAGAGAGAGAGGGAAGCAGGGTCCCTGCTGATCAGAGAGCCCGATGCGGGACTCTATCCCAGGACCCTGAGATCATGACCTGAGCCGAAGGCAGCAGCTTAACCCACTAGCCACCCAGGCGCCCTGATCATGAACTATTAAGGAAAGACCTAAAATACTATTAATCTAGGTTGCAACACAATTTCTTTGGGTTTCTTTTTCTGTTTACTTTAAAACAGGTACAAATTCCAAAGACAAGAAGCTTAGAGATGATGTGGGGCAGTGTCTACCAATTACGCTTTAGCAAATTTGTTCTTAGAAGTAGTAACCTGTGCTTTTAGAGAACCTAGGACTGGCTTGTGACAGAGAGTAGGACAGTATCTTTATTATTTTATTTTATTTTTTTAAAGATTTTATTTATTTATTTGTCAGAGAGAGAGGAGCTAGAGTGAGCACAGGCAGACAGAGTGGCAGGCAGAGGCAGAGGGAGAAGCAGGCTCCTTGCCAAGCAAGGAGCCCGATGTGGGACTCAATCCCAGGATACTGGGATCATGACCTGAGCTGAAGGCAGCTGCTCAACCAACTGAGCCACCGAGCTGTCCCTCTTGGAATGTCTCTAAGTGCCTGCCAAGCACAGTGTTTTTTAAAACATTGAAATTCCAACCACCCCTTCATTAATTTCACAGAGAAGAAAGAGAAGTAAAATGGTCAACCTATTGTCAGAGTGATTTGTCTTCATTTGATATTAATTAAGGATCTCAGTACTTTGATCAGAACATTCCAGTTGTTGGTGGTGGTTTTTGTTTTCAGTGTGAAAGTAGCTTTCCTTAACAGTCCTGTTTATTTTGAAGACAGAGTAAAGAATTTGTTTTTTTGATTTAGTTAGATTCATATTGGTTAAAAATACAGCTTCCTAGTGACTGGCTGGCTTAGTCAGTAGAGCTTGTGACTTTTGTTATCGGGTCGTGAGTTCCAGCCCCATGTTGGGTGTAGAGATTACTGAAGGAAATAAATAAGATACACTTTCAACATTGGAGCATGTGCAGTTTTATATTTTACGTTAGGACTTAGACTGAGAGCCCCTCTTTGAGTTTTGCTACCTTAACTTTCCTGAATTGTTGGAATGAAGATAAAATGAGGAGTTTAAAGGTGTACTTGATGAATTGTATTACTGCAATCATTAAGAAGTCGTATCTACAAATAATTTGTTTTTTTTTACATTGTTAGAGAACCAGTAACTGTTTACTACTTTAAACTATATATTATTTATACTACAGAATATTAATTTATATCAAACTCATGAAGTAGAAAATGAAAAAGTTTTTATTATATTTCATTGTTACTCAACTCTTCATTGCATTTCATTACTCAACATAGTACTCATTAATAAAGGGTTTGTCATGCCAGGAACTATCTAGGAATTGTGGAGGAGCACAAGACTTCCTTGCTCCCTTCCCTTCACGAGCTTACCCTCCAACTGGGACAAAGCTGATGCATGTTAACCCATCATAGTAAGAGACTGCCTGCCTATCAAGGACTGAGGAATTCCGAGCATAACAATTACATTTCATACTGAGTTTTGTCTGAAAGGCTTCAGGCTTAGGTAAGACTTGCTTGGTCTTGATCTTAAAGTATAAATTGGATTAATGGCTTGTGGATGAAAATATGAAGTGTAAGTTGCAAGTCTCCTGGAATTATAGAAAAGAATGAAAGATATAAGGGGAAATAAGTTTGTTTGAAATACATTTAGATATTACAGAGCAGTTGAATTTGTTGTGGAAAGGGCAGGGTGAGTTGGTTTTTGATGTACAAACATTCTGTATACTCCCATTTTTGACATTTACTGAATTTCTGTACCTAAGAATACAAATCTTTCATTTTATATTGCCTTTTAGTGAACAGAATGCTCAACATATATTTGCATAGGATACTTTAAATGTTTAGATGTACCTTATCACACGAAAGTGTTGAACGTGGTATTAGTATCAAGACAGCAGGTATAAACCTCTTTAAATTGAGATGTTTGAGGTACATCCTTAACCAACTCTCCTTAGATTTGCTCTAAAGGAAAATAGAATGAGATATGTAAAAGAATAGCTATTTTAATAGCCACCGTTCATTGAATGCTTAATATTTATTTTTTATATAAAATGTATAATCCATTAAATAACATTTTCTGTAATATTTTTATTTTAAAGTTACTAGAATGCACTCACACAGTGGTTAATATATCTTTACATTATTTTTCATGAATAATAGAGTTAGGAAGCAGGGTTCATGGGGAATAATTTTAGAATTGTGATTTTAAAGAGTTTTTAGACTATCTTCTGATACATAGATGGTATTAACAATAAGAGCATGTCCTGTCTCTAAGCATTCCGAACTTATTTTTTCTTTGTATATATGTTTGTTTTTGTAGAAACATCAAACTGTTTAAAATGAATTTCTTCATTTTAAGAACATAGGAGGAAACATCTGAGTTGATTTCCAGCCTGTCTTTTCAATATGATACCCCAGAAGTATGTTATGGTGACAGTAAAGAAATAGTACAAATATTAGATATGACTTTCAATAGATAACAGAATAGAATTACTTTCAGATTATGTGGATTAAAAGATTTTCATATATATATTCTGTTGACAGTGAATAGATAAGAATTATTACAAAAGCAAAAAGCCTATTAAATCACCAGTTTCATATTCATGTAGAAGTGGGATGATTTCCAACATAGTAACAGTAGAAACCAGGCTATCTGTTAATTGGTCTGAGTTTGGTTTTAGACTATATGTCACAGGTGTATCACTTTGATAATGTAATCTCTCCTGGTGTGTGACTGACAGCTTCTGCATTATTTCCCTATTGGATAGTGACAAAATCTGTTTGCTTTATATTGAAGACATATACTTCTATCAGAAATATTATTTTCACTATGCAAGAGTGTCAGTTAACAGTAAAACATGAAGTCTGAGCTGGGGGAAGCTGTGAAAAAGGATGGGGAAATTGATGCAAAACACCCTAATGAACCATTCTTCAATAAGTAGTTTAAACTAAATGTAAATAAAAATATAAAGCTGACCAATCTAAACTGTTGATATAGCAGTTAATACAGTACTAAGAGATTGTTACCAGTTCTTATTTTTAAAGGACTGTATTGCATTTTAAGCTGTTTTCATGTGAGCCAAATCAAAGGGATGAAAGAAAGAAAAAAAAGAAAACAAAAAGAAGGAGAAAGAAAGAAAAATGGTGTTTGAAACTGTTCACTAGTATCTGTGGTATGATGTTAAATTTTTTTTAAGAAGGATTTCTGCTTTGATCATTGACAGATACAGTGTTTGACCAAATGCCTAGCCTTCTACCTGGATTAACTTAAAACATGGCTTTTGGTTTTTCATATTTAAACTGCATTAAACACTTTTTAAATTTTAATTAAGCT